AGCAAGGCTGGTCCTCAGTGGCCACATGACAGGAGGTCCAAATATGCTGTCTCATACTGGGCCATCCAGGTACAATGCAGTAACATACTGGTCCTCTGAGCCAATGGAAGTGGTCTTAAATGTGAAAATGAGGTGCAACATAGAAGGTAATAACATATAAAAATAAATTATCATCTTCCACAGTAGAATATACTCTGTTTATTATCTCGTCCTGACAGCAATAAGTAGAACACAGGATTCACTAACCAAGATGTGGAATGACCACGCCTCTTGTAACTTGAGTCTTGCATAGGAATTTTTACTTCCAGCCCACAGGTTTACATTCTGTACTTCTCTACATGTGCTGTCCATTAAGGTTGACCTGTTCAGAATTTTATCTACACAAGATTCAAATTGTAGCTCCTCAATAGCACTAGTCACATCTCAGCACTCTACAGTGTGTAGTGGCTGAGCTCCATATTGCACAGTGCTATCAAAATGTATTTCTTTCTCAGGGGAATATTTCCACCCAGGCAAACAATGAGCGGTCTGGGGAGCTTCGAGCTTTAAGTCCCACCTGGGCACTGCAGTTTCCCCAAGTCCCAAACTTCTGTGGCTAGGCACACACCTTTATCTGCGCTCTGCTAGATGCCACCCCTGCAGGCTCTTTTATTTGCCTTCTAGGTCCCTTGAGGTATCTCTCTCTCTCTTTAAACTTTGGTGGCCCTCATACATTTCATCTTATGGGGTACATTTATTCTGCCCAGGACCGTGGATTCACATATCCACCACAGACACAGGGCCTTCCAAGAGGCAGAGGCCCAGAAGGTGGGGATCAAGGGGGCCGTGGACAGATGAGCTTCTTTATTGAGTGAAAATGTCCTCATATACTTGAATAAATAGAACATATTCATTTAAACATATACTTTAATTGTAAAACAACAGAAAAAAGAAACAAAGCAATGATTTTATCCTTGCGTGATTTTCACGCTTCCACTTAACTTGATATAAAGTTCTTACTTATTTCTATGGAAATTCCTATTCCAACACTGTAGTATCTTCTTCAAAATAAAATAAAGAATTCGAATTTGGTTTTACAACACAACAGTCTTACACATGGCATGGAAAAACAAAATTCCATATAATGAATATCACACAAAATCACATTCGTTTCAGATATTTCAATATATCGTCAATATCACAAAACTAAAAACACACATGAGATCAGTACCATTATTCAAATTAGATGTGCAAGTTATACCAAGCTTGCAAAAAGAAACAAAACTTCAAAAATATCATAAAGAAGAATAAGGATACACCCAGGAGGACAGCACCATCCTGGCAAGTGTGAGGTTCTGAGTACCCCCAAAACAAACAAAACAAAAAAAAAACATCATTAAGAAAAGACATGTCACCACTGAGCACTGTGGTGCACACCTGTAACTCCAGCATGGTGGAGGCTGAGGCAGGAGGATCACCATGAGTTTGAGGGTAGCCTTGACTACAGAATGAATTCAAGGCCAAACTGTACTGCACAGTAAGTAAGATTCTGCCTGAAAAACCACCCGCAAAAGCCAAAATATCAATACAATCCACCCTCCAAATAAAAGATGTGTCATTTTCAAGTAACCCAAATAAAACAGGCATCAAGATGTACTCAGGGCACTTATAACCTCCACCAGCCCTTCACTACTTAAAAAACTGCATATAGTCAAAAAAAAGAAGGGGGGTTATTTCACTTGCGATGGAAGCTAACATAGTGACATGATTACAAACATCAGTACACACCAGTGTAAGGAATGTGCCTTGCTTCTTTATTGGCCAGTACCTAATGCACGGGCAGCCTCTTGCTCCTGTCCCAAAGCATCTGCATACAGACGTGGGTAGGAACTGGGTTCTCTCCAATTAACCTTTGCCAAATGCTCTAGGACTTTCATCTTGGTGGTTTCAGTGTGGGCCCTTGGACCCCACAAGAACTCATAGTGAGCAGGATCACTGTTGGCCACCTGCCGGTACTCTAGATATCCTTCCTGTACCAATTCCTCAGTGATGAATTTCCAGGGATCCTTAAGAACAAAGTGATCCTTCTGAGGTAACTTTTTCCTTTTTACTAGTAATTCCTTTATGTCATTTTCACTGGCACAGTTACCTTTCACGAAGATGATAGTCAGAATGACTATCAAGAGGTCAACTTTGGAAAGGCACTGGTAATTAGCACTGAGCATCCCACTATAAGTAAGGCCCAAGAGAGGCAAGAGGGCATAAGTGTGGCTCATGAAGTCCACTTCCCTCATATCAATGCCGAAGGTCAGGCACATGTTTTGACGGAGTATCTTGAATACTGATGTTTGTTTGTTATCATAAGCAGGGCCCAAAGTATGCAGCATTTCTGCCTTGGTGATTGTCTCCTGCATTTGATATTTCCAGAGAAGGATGGTCAACACTTTAGCTATACTGTCATCTAGGAATGTATGGTACAAGAACTGAATGCTTACCACATCCTGAGCATTGCATATATCCACCTCTTCTTCCTTCCTGAAACTCTCACTAGATTGGTTCCCTTGCCTGGAGGCCATAGCAGTTGTACAGAGAATATTTGCTGAGGATTTATGGAAAAAGGCGGTGCCCTAGTCCAAGGCACTACACTTGCCTATCAGAGATTTGAGTACTGGAAGAAGAGGACCCTGAAGAAGCAGTGGCTTGTATTTCCACTTTCACAGGCTTCAAAACCTCCACACCTGGCAGGCTCTGTGCCCTTCTTTTGATAAGATGGCCTCTCCTTAACTTGCTCTGCTGTTTCCTCTGACCATGAAGAAGTTCCAAGTTTCCTTGGTGACAGTGATTCAGATGCCTGGAGGACAGAGGAAGACTGTGAGTGTTCACGCATGACAAAAACACTCTTGTTAGTTCCCCCAAAGGCCCTTTTTTTTGGGTGGTGTTCACAGGGTTTTGTCCTAGAGGAACTCTCTCCAAGAATCTGGGACACAAATCCAGATGACTCCTCAGGTTACAGCAGAATTGCAGAGGACAGACACTAGGGGAGACCAAGGGACTGCTGGGACTTGGCAGAAAGATTCAAAACTGTCCTCATGCACCTGGAAACCTAGGTACACATTCAAGGAATGCACCTCACTTTTGTCTCTGGGCCTCCTATGCTGTTAGCTGTGGGCATCACTTCAGACCAAGACCCTCCCTGTCTGGTCCCTGGAGCTCCTGTAAGGAACATGAAAGCCCCCCCTTAAGCTGCAGACCACAAGTACAGTCCTGATCACCAAGTCCTTACAGGATAGGGTAGGCTGGAGCCTTTGTCTTCAACACTGTGCGAGCTGAAGAATCCCCTCTCAACTCACTCAGGGCCCTTAACACTCCTTGAGCAGGACATGAACCCCAGTCTTTTTTGCCTGGTGGCAAAGTCTCCATATCTTTCTCTCTGACAGGGAACAAAAGGCAGTAAGAAGGGCATACATCTTGACACAACTGCCTAAGGGCCACAGTTGGAGGTAGAAAACCTCATTTTGGTCCTTGTGCCCTAGGAAAGGGAATTTTCTCCATCTTATGTTGACAAGTACTTAAGTCTGGGACTCTCACCGCAGTTACCCGGGTCGACCTTCTTCAAACCACTACCCTATCTTAGACACTTATATAGGAAGTGAGAGAAAACCAGTCTGCCTGTGTTCTCTGTGTCTGATGACATGTGACAAATGGACAGGGTGAAATTAGGTTCAGCTGACAGCATTTCCTCTGCCTCAGTTAAACTCTCATTAGGCCCTGGATTCCAGCTGCTTTCCGTTCAGCCTTCACCTCTGAGAACAATGATGTCAAACAAAGAGAGCTCACTCAGCCTGGCAGACTTGCCAATCAAGGGCTCAGGGAATACATCTGTGGAGCAGCCACCATTGGTGCTCAGGGCAAGGAACCCTCAATCTTCCATTAGAGTCCTTACTTTGAATCTGCAGAAAGAGGGCCTGTGTTTGTTGAGCAAGTGGGGTTCCCTGTGCCAATCTGATGTGCCCACATAAGATAAAGTCGTTCATATTGAGAGCTCTAGTATCTCGAGGCGAGCAGGCAACAGTCCTGTCCTGCCTACATGAGGACCCATTTTAGACTGCAATACATGTGTTTATCTGTGCTATAATGCAGGACCCGTGCTATGGTTTAAGTCTAGATTCCTCTTGAAACTTCCATGGGAAAATAGGATGGAAAATCTGCAATGTTATTGAATTATAGGGGCTTATACCTTTCTGTCAGGAAGTAGGACCTTTGAGGAAGAGGAGGGTCACTGTGGGTGGAACAAGGAAGGCTATATCTTCCTTCCTGGCTTCTCCCTGCGCTGCCTGGTTTCTGTGGGATTTGTGAAGCTCAGTTTTCCTCACATCAGGCCCTGTCACTCTGCTGTGCCTGTCTATAGGTTGAAACCTCTATAAATTGTGAGCCACAGTCAATATTTCCCTCATTAAATTGCCAATGTTGGGATTTTTGTCTCATCAAGATCATAAGACAGTCCCTACGTGCTTCTGTAGTTTAACCATCTTCAACTGTACATAGTTCCTCTCCTCTCCTTGATGGTGCTCCCTTCCTTCTTGAGTTGCAAGTGACCATGCTGCTTAGGATCTTCAAGGGCTAACCCAATCGAAAGGCTCTCTTGGTCTGTTCTTTCTGGACAGGGGACATCCCCATTCCTAAGACAATGGCCATATTTTGAGTCAGTCAGCTCCTGGGTTACTAGATTTGCTATACCTATGTTGCTCCCTTTGCTGAACTGTCCCCTCAGGGACCAAGGTCCTTACCTCCCTCAGTCCTATCAACTGAAACTACTTAGTAACACTGCAAGGAATCTACAAGCAGCCCTACCCCCTCCCCTGAGCTTTGGGCTGATGATAGGGGAAGCCAGGCTCTGGGGTTGCTTGCTTTTATGGGTGTGGGCTACATAATTAAGCAGTTAATTGGAAAGATTCTCACCCTGACTAACTATATATACTGATACCTGTGAACTAAGCTACTGCACTGAAGATGGTAATTTGTAATAGTAGTTTCATGCTTGGAGTGCCTGTAATTCTGGTATTCTGAATATGGGCTCCTTGTCGTGGCATGCCAGTTGCTGCTGTGATGTCTCTCGGGTAGGTGGATGTTCAAGAAGGGGGTGGTGAAGGAAAGCAATAGACAGGAAAAGGAATATTATCGGACTGTCCTGCTTCAAGGTTGTATATGGTGAGATTTTTGGACTTATGTGCAAACATGAGAAGTATATAATTCTTTATGCTATTTTTAAAATATATTCTAATTTTTAAATGTTTTTATCATATTCTGTAGGGACTTAAAGTTCAACATATCAATACTTGATGAAAAATACCTGTTCCTTATTATGCCTAAGATGTTTGATATGCAGACAGATAGTGAGGTTAAGCTTAACAGCCAAAGTTGTTTAATAATAACAATAAATTTGGCTTCTGGATGGTTAACAACCTAAGTTTGCAGGCCAAAATTAGAGAAAAAGGAGGGCTGCAAGGAAAGCCAACATTTTGGCCCTAGCCTTCTAAGGTCAATTAAGACTCAGGACATCTGAGAACTTGTACTGTAAGATCATGTAACTCGGTAGTGTCCCAAATTTTCTGATCAAGGAGATTATGGGGCCAAAGAGGAAAGTGATCAATGATGTAGAGTGTGCCTAAGGAGAGTCACATGGAGAGCAAACATTCTGATTTCCTGGAGTATGCCATGGTAACACAGTAGTTACCATTAATGTACTTTCTCTGTATGAGAATATGCAGATTTCCTTTGTGAAATTAATGATAGTAGGATACACTCCTAGAGAACCTGTTGGTGAGCCAAGTGGACGTTAGCTTTCCCTCCTAAATTAATAGGAATGGTCAGATCTTGGAGCATGGGGAAAGGATTGTTGTTAGCTATGTGCCAAGTACATCACTGAAAAGCAAATGAAGTCAACACGTTTTTGTTGTAGGAACAAACTCTTTCCATTATAACTACTGTAAATTTCAGCACACAAAATTTAAAAGCATGAGAAAACAATGTCTCCTGATATCCAATCCCATATTAAATAATAAAGAAAGCTGAGGAGATACTTGGGCAGTCTAAGTGCCTGCCTGGCAAGCAAAAGGACCAGGGTTCAATCCCTGGCGCTCCATGCTGTCAGGGCCCTGGAACAGTGGGCATGCTTTGCTGGCCACAGAAACTGGGTGTGGTGGCACACATCTGTAGTCCTAGCTCTACAGAGGCTTATAAAGAAGAATTGCTACAAGTCTGAGCTACATATAGTGAGACCGTGTACCAAGTAAAAATTAAAAGAAAATTTTAAATGAAGAGAGAAGCAGAAAGTTTTCTCTCTACAGTCAGGAACAAGACAAGGATGTCTGCTGTCAGCATACTTCTCCAACATCATTATCAATACATTAAATAGAGCTATTAGGCAAAGAAATTGACATATGAAGAGGAAATGAAGAATTAAATTATCATAATTTGCAAATAGCAATATCCTCTACATTGAAGAGATGGATAACTTTACCAAAAAACCCTATCATTCATCACACATTAGATAGTATAGCAGGGTACAAGTCAATGCAAAAAAATCAGTACCATTCCTAGAAAACAGGCACAAACTTACTGAGAAAGAAATGGGGGAAACTATAACTTCCACAGTATCAATAAGAAAAAAATAAATTCCTAGGAATTAACCTAACCAATAAGGTGAGAGATTTACAATGCAAGCTACAGAAAAATGAAAAGAGAGATTGAAGAGGCTTTGAGAAAATGGGATGATATACCCTTTTGATGAACAGAGAACTATTATAGTCAAAAAAGTTATACTTCCAATGTTCTTTCCAGATTTAACAAAATTCCAATGAACATATCAATAACATCCCTCATAGAACTAGAAAAACAATGTTATAAGTCATATGGAATTTATATGATACTTAGAAGAGGCAAAGCAAACCTGGGCAACCACGGCCCAACAAGAGGTATCACTACCCCAGCCCTGAAGATAATTTACAATGTCATAGGGCTGCAAGTAGCATGTTAGTGATGAAAAGCAGAGTTCCATATGAATAGAACAGAACAGATGGTACAGAAACAACAACAAGCAAATGCAATGTTTTATTTGACACGGGGTCAAATACATTCCCCAAAGGATAGACAATCTCTTTAACAAATAGTGCTGGTAAAACTGGTTATCCACATGAGGAAGACATAACCTGGACCCAGGTCTCTCTATGTGCACTAAACTAAAATCAAAGTGTATTAAATAATAAAATATTAAAACAGAAGCAATGCGCTGGAAGACAAAATAGGTAACGCTGTGGAAGACACAGGCATAGGGAAGGTTTAATGAAAAGAAACTCAAGTGTACATTAAATAATATTGTGAATCAAAAAGTGAGATCATGTGGAATTTAAAAACATCTGCAGCAGAGCCAATCCTAAGTATGGGAGAAGGACAGCCAGGGAGATAGCTCAGTGGGAAAAGTGACTGCCGGCAGCTGCAAAGTCCTGAGTTTGATCGCTGGTGCGCACATGCACACACACACACACACACACACACGCACACACACACACACACACAC